TTTGGAGCCCCTAACCCTTCCTGTTTCCAAAACTTGGGGTCCACCAGTCAGTCAGCTGGCCTGTCTAAAGCACCTGTTATGTCCAAGGCGTGGTGCTAAGTCCTGCCCTGGAGATACAAAGATGGGTTTTGACAAACAGCCCCTGCTCTCAAACCTAGCATTAGGTTTGGAATGTCAGGCCGTGGCTCAGTCCTGGTGCTGCCTCTGACTTCCTTGGACAAGTGTCTTCACCTGCCTGGGCCTCAGTTCCTGCCACTGTAAATCGGATTAGGGGCTTGGATGAGGTAAGCTCTGAGGTCCTCTCCAGTCTAAATGCTGAGGTCCCAGGATTATCAAGAAAATGAGAGCTAGTGTGTCTTCCTGTTGAAAGATTTGTGATACCATCCCTGTGGCTAATTCTCCATGCCGAATCATGGAATCACCAAATCTGAGAGGGAAGACGCCTCAGCAGCCATCTCGTCCAGCCCAGCCCTGCTGTGACCTCTCTGACTGACCAGCCTTTTTGCCTGAAGACCTCCAGTGAGGGAGAAGCCACTGCTTCCCCAGGCACACAAACTGTCTTGCTGCTCTACTTGTAATAGCTCTTCCTCATCGTTAGGAAGGTTTTCCCAGCATCAAGGCTAAATTTTCTTCTTCTCACCACTCATCCGTGGCAGGCCAACAGAAAAAGCCCAGTCCCTAACAAATACAAGCCACATCAAAATAGGGGAATTGAATGGGGGGCGGGAGGAGGCTCCTGAAAAGGAGGCTGGAAGGCATAGGGCATGATGTGTTCCACGTGGCCCTGAGTCAGAGCCGGGGTCAAGGCAGGGAGCTCCTGGATTGAGGTGGGATTCCCCAAGAGTCCTTGTGTCCACGAGAAATGACTTGGTGTCCTTGAGGATGTGCACCCTCTTGGCTTTGCCATCACCATCACACACTGGGAACTGAAGCTCCTTGGGGGTCCCCAGGAGGAGAGGGAGCCGGCGACACCAAGCTACTGATCAATTTCTCTTCCCCGTCTCGAAACCCAAGCTCCCTCGATCAAGCCATTCTCCCGCCGTGACAGCTGAGAGCGAGTGTGTTTTAAAGCTCTGAATGGGCCATTTCGGTTTCAAGTCCAGATGCATTTTTATGTCCGCCTGGAAAAAATGTGGAGGCTCTGCTGGCAGCCAGAAGAGTTTTTAAAATTTAAAAAAAAAAAAAGTTTGCTGCACCTGTCCCTTCTAGAAATGCACAAGGAAGAAAGTGTTGCTTTAACACAGCTATCTGACTAATTTTTAAAAGAAACAGGCCTGCCATCGCCTTCTCCCTCTTGCCTCCCAAGTTTCCACCAAGAAGCACTGTGCGGTAGTGGAAAGAGCCCTGAATGCTGGGTCAGAAAAAGAGAGACCTGGGCTCTAGTCTCACATCCCACACTGATCAGCTGTGTGCGTCAGGACAAGTCACTTTATCAGTCAGTCAACAGGCATTGATTATGCTCCTACTGGGTACCCTAGTGGATAGAGCCTGGAGTAGTCAGGAAGACCCAAGTTAAATCTGGCCTTCGACATTTACTAGCGGTGTGACCCTGGGCATGTCATTTGACCTCTGTTTCCTCAACTGTAGAATGATGATTATAACAACGCCTGCCTTACAAGCTTATTGTGAGGATCAGGTGAGATAGTATGTGTGAAGGGCTTAGTACAGTGCCTGGTGTGTAGCAGATGCTGACTCTCCCTTTAGTACTAAGTTGTACCAAAAATCAAAGTCAGGTTCACTGGGCTTCTAATTTCTGGACTTCATTCTCTTCCCTTTTTAGAAAACTAGGACAGTATTTGTCCTCATTTGCCAGCCCTGCAGTGCCTCTCCTGTTCTCCATGATTTTAAAAATATCACCAAAAGTGGTTCAGTAATTATATCTGCCATTAGTTCCCCCCCAAACCCCCCAATGTTGGAGTATGCAGTTCATCTGGGTGACTTGAATACCTCTGAGGGACCTAAGTAGCCTCCTGCTGTCTTCTTTCTGAGCTGTGGGTTACCAGATCCCTACTGACCATTTTTAATCTGTTCTTTCTAGCCCAGAGGTCCTTCTCCTTCTCACAAATGGCCTAAGCAAATAAAAATTAATCAGCTCTGCCTTCTCTGTTACCAGTTATATCTTCTCACTAACCCTAAGCAGTGGCCATATCACTTCTGGGATCCTTCTTCTTCCCCTGTTTATAGCTCTACAAACAAGCAAAAACATCTGTTGTAATACTTGGCTTTCCTTCACAACCTCTGCCCATTCTGTGATTCACCATTTCTGACACTGTTTTTACATACAAACATAGCATACTTTTAGATTAATCTTCTGTTGCCTGGCTTTGCTTCCATCTGAATTGTTTGGTGAGTGTGAATGTGCGTCCGCATCATTCTCTTCTGAGAAATCACTTCTCCCCCCACCCTACTCCTTCTCATTCTTTGTTGTTTCATCCATGGAAGTTTCCTCTCCCTCCTAGATTGATTTCCCATAGAATTTTAATCCATGGGAACTCTACATAATCTTTCAAGTCTTTTCTCTAAATCTAGGGAGCATGTAAGGCTAGTCTGTGCTTTTCTCTTTTATTCTAAGCTCTTAAAATGAAGTAGTGACTTCCCTTCAAAATTACTTTTCTTTCTATCCCAGGAACCAGTTCTTCCCTTTTGGAGAGAATCGAATACAAAATCCAATCCCCCCCCTCCACACACACACACACACACACACACACACACACACACACACACACATCTTTTTTTTTTATCCTATACTTTTTAAAGGATGAAATTGTCATTAAAGCAACCAAGAAAGTATTACCTTTTCTGCTTTGGAAAGAAAGAGAACCTTCAGTCTGTGTTAGGTTAATTGAAACCCTCCCCTTCCCCTCCATCACTAATGCATCATGCCTTTGTGCCTGATCTGTGATCTGTTTCCTTGACTCCTCATCTATTTCGTCTTTCCATCCTGGTGGTCTGTAGTACACTCATAGTACTGCCTCCACTAATGTCTGTCTAAATGTTTTACCTTCCCCTAGCCTTAGTTCCCTCATTTATAAAAATGGTTTGGTAATTGTTGTACTGCTCACACTTTATACAGGGTTGCTTTGTAAACCTTCAAACACTATTGAAATGACCATTACCGCCACCACCATACCAGCCTTTGGTTGCCAGGCCATAATGCCCTGTTCACTGACAGAGATCAACAGACTGCGGTGTCCCCAGAAATCTGGCTTTTAAAAGCTCCTGTGCTTCAGGCAATGTTTTTAATGAAAAGAGCTCTAGGTCTGGAATGAGGGGACCTGTGTTCAAATCCCTGCAGTTATTTACCAGCTATGGAACTTTTGGCAAGTCATTTCCCCTCTATCAGACTCACTTTCCTCATCTTTAAAATAAAGTTAGACTAAGTGATCTCTGAGGTCCTTTATCTGTGATCTTATGGACTACTGCTTCCTCCTCATTTTATAACCTAGAATAAGTCTCTTCTCTCCTCCATGCCTACTAACTAGTGACTACCTGGACCAGTTAGAGGGTCCGCGAGTGATACTGCCCCCTGATTGCCAGTGTTCATGCCTTAAACCAGCCCACCTCTCTTCCTTCCTCCTTGCTTCCTTCCTTCCTTTCTCTATTCTTATTCACATCATAAGTTCCTTCTCAATTCCCTTCTTTGAAGTGAACCCTGTACCTAAATCTTTCGTGGGCCATTACTCAACTTTGATCACCTAGGTAAGCCTGTGGATTGCCAAGCTTTTTGAGAACTATAAGGAACCCTTTTCAACATCAAAAAAAAATAATAATAATTCATGGACTTCCTACATGGTAATAATTGTGTTATTAGTATCTGTTTATTGAGAAAATTCTTTATGACAGAAACTCCTGGGTATTCAGGAACTCAGCCCTGTCTCTTCCTCAAATGATTATGTATGTAATACATAATTCCCTGCATATTTTATACCTCCAACAGGATTTAAGTGCCCTGGCCTTTCTCTTTAGTTCTGTCTTTGTGTCGCCAAAGCTGAGTGCCTGACAAAGACGAGGCTTGGGGTTTTGGCCACCTGCAATTGGAGTGGCTAGAGAACATAGGCTTTCCATTGCAATGCTGCCTCTGACTGTTGCTTTCTTGTGTGACCTTGGCCTGCTTGATCTTCCTAGTCCTTGGTTTCTTCTACAGAATGGTTAGGGGCAGCTAGGTGGCGCAGTGGATAGAGCACCGACCCTGGATTCAGGAGGACCTGAGTTCAAATCTGGCCTCAGATATGTAACACTCATTAGCTGTGTGACCCTGAGCAAGTCACTTAACCCCATTGCCTAGCCAAAAAGAAAAAAAGAAAAGAGAAAGGAAAACTATTAGCATAAATGACCATATCAGAATGACTTGGTTAGAATAAGAAGGCCCTTCCATCTCTAGTTCTGTGATCCTAAGGGAAGTCAGGGGGTAATTCTGCCTCAGTTTCCCATATGGAAAATAGGAGGCAGTAGCCCCAATTCACTCTCAATCCCCCATGGAATTTTTAGGATAAGATGTACTTTGAGTCCCTCAGAAGGAAAATGCTGTCTAAAAATGGCAATGTCCATGTTAGAGGGGAACATTTAAGCACAGGTCATGCTCTCTCCTGCAGCCAGCAGTCTCCAGTTGCCCAGTGCAGCCGAGGTGCCCTTCCCCAGCAGAAGAAGAGCTGAGCTAATGGGGTCACCCTACATGGCTGGGATTTTAACATGGAAAATAAGGTGATTGCTTTCGAGCAGGCACCAATTACAGGCCTGGACTGTGGATATATTGACCGGTCAATCAGTCACTTGCAGTTCTCTCTGTAGGAACACAAGCAGCTAATTAAATAGATATGCCCAACTGTTCCCCAGACCCTCCTTGGAGATCCGATGTCCTGAGAGCAGGAACTCATGGCGGGCACTTTGCAGAGCTTTCAGAGGCATTGAATGGAGGTTGAAGCAGGGTGGGAAGGAGAGGAGAGTAAGTGGACAGATGATGGTTTTGGCGTAACACAGTTTTCTCCTGTTCCCTGTTACAGAGAGCTTTCAATGCCCTGTGCCACAGTACCCATTTATATGGGAGAAGACTGGTCCTGGAGTGGGCAGACACAGAAGAGACAGTCCAAGCCTTGAGACGGAAGACAGCTCAGCATTTTCATGGTAAGTCACTGGTGGTGGGACCCCCCCCCCCCGCCCTGTGCTGGTCTTCTGCTCCTACCCTTCCAGCTGGGCTGAGCTGGGTCAAGAGAGGAAAAACTCCCCAACATTGAGAGCCACCCAGAGGTGGAGAAGACTACCTTAGGAGGCCCTGAGCTTCTCCTTTCCCTGGAGGTCCTCACCCACAGTCTGGATGACCTGTGTGAGTGGGAGAGCTGGCCTTGGTGCTGCCAAGAACACAGACTGGGCTATACTGCAGGAGCACTAGATTTTCTAGATCTGGCTCTGCCCCTTACTAGCCTTCTGACTTGGATAAATCTTTCCTGTGTCTGTGAAATGGGGATCACAGTACTGATCCGGCCTCTCTCACATGGTTTTAGGAGGGGCAAGATGGCATGATGAGTACAAAAGCAGTCTACTCTGTAGACCACAAAGCACCCTATGGACAGAAGAGGTCTTTATGAGGCAGTCCTCTATGAGGATAGAGTGCAGGGTCTGGAGTCAGGAAGATATGAGTTCATATCCTGCCTGTGACACTAACTATGTGACCCTGGACAAGTCCCTTAACCTCTTTCTGCCTCAGTTTCTTCCATAAAAGGGAGGTAATAATAGCACTTACCTCCCAGGGTTATTGTGAAGGTCAAATGAGATAATAATTGTAGAAGTGTTTAGCACAGTGCCTGGCACATAGTAGGTGCTATATAAATGTTAGCTTAGATGGTGCTGTTAGCACATAGTAGGTGCTATATAAATGTTCGCTTAGATGTTGTTGATGGTGATGATGATGATGATGATGATGATGATGACGACGATGACAGTGACAGTAATGACAATGACAACAAATGAAACGGTCCCCTCCCTCAAGAAAATTCTGTTCACACACACACATACATAGACAGCACAGAGGGGTCTCTCTACTCTATGTGTCTAATGCCGTTTATCTGGGATGTATCTGTATTGGGGCCAGAAAGGGGTGGGGGTAGGGAGGGGGGAAGTAGAGATTTGTCTTATAATGATGAAATCATGAATCTTTCGAGTTGTCAAGTGCTATATCAAAGACAGATCACTGGACTTGAAGTCGGGAGACATGTATTTGAACCCTATCTCAAGCACTCACCAGCCTCATGATTTTGACTTTGGGACTTCTCTCAGCCTCAATTTCCTCATCTTTAAAATGGGGGTGATGCTATGTGCATTATCTATCTCAGCAGGGTGGCGGTGAAGGAAGAATTGTGTTACCATATAGAAGCTGTTACGGTTGTGATTCCTCACTCCTTTTGAGTGGATGCTAAGCAGCGCTGGGAAGCCTGGGCTTTTGGAGCCCTATGACACGGTTGTGATATTGGAGGGTGGGTCACATCTGCTCTGCAGAAGAGCACTGATCCCTGAGAGATCTAGAACAGAGCAGCAGAGTTAAAATTGAATAGATGACTTGACGGTCAGAAGCTGAGGTCTCACTACAGATGCTGGAGCTCAGAAGGAGTGCTGTCCTTTTATTGACAGCCACTGACAGGCTCAAATGCACTCCTTGGCAAATATTTGTGTAAGGGACTGTCCCTGGAGCAGAGGTGTGGGCTAGAGATCAATGGCCCCTTCCTGCTTCCTCTCATGGTGGTCCTCAGCACCAGCTGAGAAAAGTCCCGTCTAAGCACTTCTGGCTGGGTTTGGAGAGAAATGCCTTTCAATAAATTGAGTGCAGAAGTGGAATTGTTGCCTAAACCTGGAGGGAAAACTCCTTGGTGAGCATTTCTATGAGACTGTTTGCCACCCATAGCCTCCAAGGAGCTCAGAGACAAAGGCCTGGGCTTTGAGAGCTCAGCAGCAAGCAAAGCCCGTTTTCTCTTGTCTGGGGGAGCCCAGATGCCTCCACTCTACTCTGGCCTTTGTTCAGACCTTTAAGTAGGTGAGATGGCACTGGACTTGGAGTCAGCCTGGGTAAGCGACTGACTGTCTGAGATTAATGGGTTGGAATTGGTGACCTCTAAAGGCTCTTCTAATTCTTGTATGACCTCATGAACATGAGCAGCAACATGGTATAAGTGGAAAGAACATTAGCCTTGGACCTGGAGAACCTGGGTTCAAATCTTGGCTCTGCTCCTCAGTACTTGTGCTGACCCTGAACAAGTAACTTCATGACCTTGGTCTTAGTTTCCTCACCTGTAAAATGCAAGGTTCTTCCCCACCCCTGTGAGTCTGTGAAGGCAGTGGACTTCATTGTTAGGTGTGGGCATCCCTAGCACAGAGAGGAATATCAGGGAGCCATCTAAATGGAACCATGCTTTGCCTCCTCAAAGACCTGAAACCTTGCCCATGCAGGGATCCCTGCCACTCACCCCAATCCCGACCCTTCTGTAGCCTTGTAAATGGTCTTCAAGGGTTGAATTAGTAGGAAAATTGATCATCCCAAATAAATCACCATTAGTCCCTGGCCCCTTCCTCTGGGCAGCCTGGAAAGAAGGATCTGTCGAAGCTCACGCTGTGTCGGGAAAACCTTCTAGAAGCAAGAGTCACCTCCATATCCACCATGAGGCCCTGCCAACCATTATTACCCAGTACAGTCAGTCTGCCATGTGTCCATGCTTGTGGTCATTTCCTAGAGAAAAGTTGCCCTGGGCCATCCAGAATAGTGCAGGCTATGAAGGCAAGGGAGGTAGGAGGAGAAACAGGTCAGCTTCTGGTGGTGGAGGTACAAGGTGAGGACAGGACATCAGAGACTTTGAAGAGGAAGACTGTCCTTCTGTGGCATCTTGCCACTATCCCCTGAGCAAAGAGCACACTGCACTGGAAGGAGAAGAGCACAGGGCATCCCCAAAGAGTGAGAAGCAACCCCAGAAAGTCTTTTTGTCCTGCTGTGGGGGAAGGGGGCAGCATGTTGTGGTGGAAAGGTCATTGCACTTAGAGTTAATGGACCTGGGTTTGAATCTTGGCTCTTCCAGTTAACATCTAGGTGACCTGGAACAGGTCAGTCGCTGCACACGTCCAGGCCATAGTTACCTCATCTGAAATGTCCCTTGGAGACGACCCAGTCCAACCCCGTCCCTGACGACTGAGACATGAATCCCCCTGTACCTGTACTGAGATGAGGAATTCAGTTTAAGTCAACAAACATTTATTATGCACCAGCTGTGTGCAGGGCATTAATTCTGACTGCTGAGGATTAGGAGGTAGAGGGTAGGGGTGGACTAGACCTATGATTTCATTGATAGAGGGGATGCCCAGAGCATCACAGCCAGTGTGAGATGTAAACAAGATATGAACCTAGGTCTTCCTGACTTGGAGACCAGCTTTCAGTCCCCAGTGTCCCATTGCCTTGTTTATGCTAATGCAAGGTTGCTCTTAAGCTCAAAAGAGATTGTACAGAGCACGGTAGGTACCGTGGGTGGGATTGGCCCAATTTACAGAGAAGAGAAGGAGTCTTGGGGTTAGTGATTTGCCCTTGGCCACATAGCCACTAAGTATCCGATGGAGGATTTGAACCTGTATCTTCTTGCTCCAAATCCTGCATATCGTGCCTCAGTTTGACAGAATGACTGAACAGGGGAAGAGAAGCCCCTAAAATTGGGAGAAGAGCAGACGTCCACAGAGTACCTACACCTGCCTGAGGTTCTCAAGCTCTGGCGCCCTGCTGCAAAGAAAGATTGGACTCCTAGGGCGCTGTGGATATAGAGGCAAAAAAAAGGGGGGGGCAGATGACAGTCTTGGCCGTAAAGGAATAAAATATGAATTCTCCTCAGAGGATCCAGACAGCATGTATACTGTTAAGTAAAAACAACGTGTACACAGATTGATGCAAAATCACTTCAAGAGGAACCTTGTACCTTACCGCAGGGCAGTGGGCCCTTGTGCAGGAGGTGGTCCCACCAAGGACCACATGTGCAAAGGCCAAGAGGTGGGAGATTTTATTTTTGGACAGTTCCCCCAAAGCGTGGTCCCCTGTGCTTGAAATGCACTCTCTGCTCGTTTCCACAGCTTAGAATACCCAGCTTCCTTCAAAGAACAGCTCAGGCACCACTCCTACATAAGGCCTCTCTTCCCACCTCACACTTGTAAGGTACACGGCCCCTCTTGAAATAACGTTGCATCAATCTGTGTGCACGTTGTATTTACTCACAAGTATACTACTTGCTGCCTTGATCCTCTGAGCAGACAGCTGCTCTTCCCGCATGCTCTTCTGTCCTTTTCCTCATATCAGAAACTTGCTGGTGCCTCCTAAATCTCCTGTTGTTGCTTGATTCTGTCTTCCCCCCATTGTTCTGAGTTCTCTGGGACGCCAGCCTGGCAGATAGTGAAGGCAGATGTGATCGGTGCCCAGTGCCTGCCCTCCCTCCCTCAGCCACCAGACTCTGCCAACGAGTCACTCAGTGCTCGGATCGAGACCCCACGTCGCTGTGAGCCTCGCTTGCCTTTCTGCCTCCCCCAGCCAATGGAAATCTTGATTCATCCCATCTGGGGCCATAAGACTGTGACAAAGAAAGCAGGATCGACCCCATGTGGAATGTTGGCTCAGGAATGAAAAGGAAAGGGTTTTAATGACTTGCTAGGTCCTGACAATGAGCTTTCTGGTGGCATTCTGGCGGCATTCTGGCCTTGGAGTCGTCTTCAGGGGCTGCAGGGGTCTGGGAGGAGGGGGAGCAGGAGAAAGCCCCAGCACCAAGCAGGAGCCTTAGATCGTTGGCACTATGCAAACCTGTAGTGAGCCCTGGCAGTGAGCTAAGCCTTTGGGCAGGCTGAAGGAGGCAGACCTGCCCTGGCCTGGGAGAGGGCAGGCCAACCAAGGTATTCCAGCTGCCTGCAGAGGCTTTCAGGCAGCCCATCCTGTGTGCTGACCACCCACTGCTCAGCACATGCTCCTGGCTCTCAGGCTCACTCCCAGCGCACCCACGGTAGAGGTGGGGGAATTTCATTGCCCATGTGTCAAGGCGGCCCATTCAAAGCCAGAGCTCCTCCTTACCTTGCTATCTGTCTAGCTCCCTTAGCTTCCTCCCCAGGCTCCAAAAGGATCT